ACGTGCAATGAGCTACCGAGAGGCCGCGAAGTCCGACTGTTTGAATTGTAGGTGAATTTCCCCTCAGTAGGTCATCTCTAACGGCAAGGTACCGCACAATCCAACACAGCCCGCCGCACTCGCTCACAAGATTGGCTGCGAACAGCACCCGCCCACACCACACCTTGAGATCGCAAGATAACCACATTATCCGAACAATGACGCACGCGAAGGAACCACCGACTGCTTCGGCCCACAGTTGGATGCCACCGCCCGCCCAAAACGTACCGACAGCGAAGTGCACCGCCTCATCTCTCCATCGAGAAACGCGGGTGTAGAGAGAAACGAATGCACCACGCTTTCAATACACCCGGACGAACGGAAAGCGTCCACCTGTGCACGGGGGCGCAAAAGGAACACAACCCCTCTCCCCCCTGGGCCCACACCCGCCGGTTGCCGCGGGCACCACCAACAGCACTCGACGCAGGCGAAACCCAGGAGACAAAGGACAATAGCCTTCAAAGCCCACAACCTAAACGCAGCGGAACCACAACGCAGCCCGATCTGTCACGGTGTGCAGCATACCGAGACCACAGGATGGGGGACACGACGGACACAAGCGCACATTCCAACAAGTTGGGCGGATGATGGGCCCAACCTCGCGACGCCGTCGGAGGGTGCATCACGCATCCCACAAGTCTTCGCCCTCGCATACGGTAAGTAGCGGGTGCAGGGCCGAGACCACCTGCGCCACCGCTCAATGGCGCTGCCCGGATGGCGAAGAGTGCACAGCATCCTCACCAAGTCGTGAGACCCCCTCAACACAAACGGAACGCGCCATTGTGAGTGCGGACACGAAGACGACACCACAACAAATCCGCAACCGCTCTCCCTGTAACCTACGGGATGATGGTGCCGAAGCTGAGAGTCAGTGACGGGCATCTCCGCCTCCACACCCCGCAAACGACCGCCAACCGGACCGTTGTTGGCGATCAGGCGCCATCATCGCAAGACGATGAGCAAGGGTGAACGCAACGATTCACAACCCGGCACCACGGCATAGGAAAGCCCCGACAGCCGCGACCGCCACCAGCGACGACCGAGCTGTCGTGAAATAAGCCCTCCGAGAAAGACGACCATGGACCCGCACGGCGCCGCAAAAATGTTCGCTCACCACCAAAGAACGACTCGCTCGTCCCTCACAAACAAGAAACCACCCAAAGCGTGTGCAGAGAGTCCCCCGTAACTCGAGTACAAGGTCCCAAAACCCACGCCCGGAACGTCACCTTCGTCGACTGCAAGGGGCCTGCTAAGCACGCAGGCCCCTATAAGAGTGCAAACGGGACTCCGAACAGCAAACCACCGACTGTTTGGCACATCCGCTGGGTGCTCACTGAGCCATCCGCCGAGGGACCTGCACATGTCCCTTTCCAGCAAGCTGACTGAACAGACCCCAATGGCGATGTCCCCCTCGGAACCTCATCCCTTTCTGCTCTCAGTAAGACGCCTCTGGACCTTGGATCCTGGGAGACCCCTTTTTCTCGGGGCCGTTTCTACACCCGAGTGGCAGTGCGCGGTATCGGCTGCCCCCACAGAATTCAATACCTTAAAAGTCTGTCCCATCTGCGTCCCTTCCACACACAAAGGGATAAGGGGAAGGAC